AAAAATTTCGCTTACGTGTCGCATTTTCATCCTGCGCATTCTCCTTTATATAATAAGATTGTTTGGGGGTAGTTGGCAATTTCTAATCATTTTTATTTTATTTTCTCAAATATGAACATATAAATTCTATTTTGATGTATGTTTCCTATTTGTTACTTATGTTTTGCTCATATTTTACTTATATTTTTCTTATTGTTTGCTTATTCTATTGTTCAGTTTATAAATATTATTTAGTCTAAATATGTTGACTAAATATGTTCACAATGGTGCTATCTACGTATGTTCTCAACTAGTATAGATAGGGTTGACTTTTTGTCAATTACAAAAAATAAATTATTAGATAAATTAAAAATTTGTCCTTAAATTTAATAAAATTGTAAAAAAAGGGCAATTATAAAAATACCATTTTTTGTATGCACATTTGCAAAAATGCCACTTAGGGGTATCCATTTACAAAAATGCCACTAATTATAGATTTATAAAATCTATATCTTAAAATTCTAAACCCTAAAAAATGTTTTGACACATAAAACCCCCTAAACACTCAAAACTAAATCCTAATAGAACATAATTAACCCAAACATAAATAATATAAAATTTTTTTTTTTGAAAAAGTGGCATTTTTGTAAATATTTCAAAAATGTGACATTTTTGGAAAGTGGCACTTGAAAAGTGGCGTTTTTTGAAATTTCTAAAAAAAAAACTCAATTATAAACTTAATTATACAAATATGACTATACACACTCTCTAAATTTTTTAAAAAGTTTCCATTTGTTACACCATTCTCTTCCTCAAGTCTCGTCGATCAAAAATCCTAAAAATCAGAATATCAAAGTCATCACACCTTTTCCAACAAATCATGGTTGTGTATGATGTGGTTGACAACAAACCTGACAGCTTCATCTACTTTGTGCCGGTCTACAAATCCGACCAACCCATCGATCACGACGACAACAATCTCCGCAAACAAAAAAAAAAATTATTCGATTTAAACGGAGACGAAGATCTTGATTTTGAAAATTTAGAATCTTGAACCATTCGTCTTACTTTGACGGAGATTGGCTCATTGGTGGCGATAAAGATCATATACAAGCCGTCGTCTATCACATTCTCGATATGATCGAAGTACCTTTTTATAGAGAGATTGTTATGACACTCATTTATGAAGTATTGTATTTGAAGAAAGGTGATGCAATGTATGCATTACC